TTATATTTGAACTGCCTGTGGACTCTTCGTATCCCCACCGACAGCGTTTTGAGTCTACAGTTTGAAAGGTTTAACACAGAGCAGTGGTATGTGCATCCAATAATCATGAGTATAACTGTGCTCGTAGAGAAACTTTTAATTTTGTTAAAAGTAAAATCGGATTCCTTTTGTTTTACCATGATAAGTTTTGATTAAAACTAGCTCGAGCCTGTTAACCAAAGAGATGTCACGCTGCAATGAGCTGCAACTTGATCATTCGTATAAATATCCTTGGAATTAAAAGTGCAATTGTCAGGAAAGACTACTTTCGCTTTGTTTACGACCACAGAGGAGTTTCTGACTTTAATTGAAATTTGCCTTAGCACTTGGGTTCCTATAACACTGCAAGGTAAATGTGGCAAAGAAACGCAAGGAAAAAGATTTGGAATTGAAAATGCGGCCTAATGGTTTCCCTTTCTGTCCTTTTTCGTTGAAGCTGTGATTTTGTTGAGCTGACAGTAAGCACCGGGCGGTTAGCAAGGCTGAGTGGTTCTAGGAATGGATTCAGCATCACAGTTAGAGGCGACAGAAGTCCAGTTCTTAATATCACATTTACAACAGATAGATCTGTCGTAAGACAAGGTTTCTTGGCTCGCTACATCATAATATTTGGTGAGAAAACTGTAAATTCTTCAAGTAGTTACGCATGACTAAGGCTTCTTGTGTGTATAGTTGTTGATTACCTTAATCGTTCGCAAACCTTAGTAGTTCTAGGTAAACGCGATTTTCCCTATGTGAGGATACCATAAAACGAATAACGCCTAGTGAGTCCTATTCACTTTACACCGTGTCAAATCCAGGGGTTTCAGAAACCTCCTTTTAATACCGGTCATAATGCCTACAGCGACTCGTCCACCGGGCAAGTTAATAAATCACTATTACAGCGTAGAAAAGCTAAGAAAGTTGCAGTATAGCGAAATAAAAACGAAACTGAATGACAAAACGAGGTTACCATGCGAACTGGAGATTAATTTTCGACGACGATAGGGAAGATTGTGCTTGATATAACAGCCTAAGGGTGTGGTATTCTTTATCTTTAGGTTTTCCATCAGCGACACTGCGGCCAACACCATCTTCTGCTTCTGGAGTAAATCATGCGACATCGTCTCCTTCTTCTCAAGTGCCTACCCAGCCACCTTTTACAGGTATGTAAACTTTCTCGAATTTCTAAAAACTATGGTACTCATTTCATTTTTTGATATAAATCAGTCTAAGCAATCAAACGCACTCAGATTTCGTGGCCCCGGTTTAAGGACCAAGCTCAGCCGGGCTGAAACGCTTGGAGGCGAGTTCTTTCAGCATCCCTCTGCAATCCTACCTTTCCTAATATTACATGATTCAATCGACTAACTCACGGCATTGTTAAAATGAACCCAGGGCTGATACAAAACTTCTCAGCTTTACCCAGCTACACTTTTGAAGTCCTTTGAAGACTTATTCAAAGAATTTCGTTTTGTATCACAGCAAAACTTCTCCAGCAAAAAAAAATAACCTTTTTTATCATTTGTTTGCTTGCGGTGTACCGTTGTTAAAAGATATAGCTATCTGTTTAACACTTTTGGCTCTCACTTAGTGTAGAAGACACAACATACGTCGCAATAAATCACGGCCTCATAAACCTATCTATTTTTTCATTCGCTTTATCGAAAGAGTAACAAGTGAAACGTTAGGTTTGAAACGCTTTACGGTGGTCGATTAACATTATCAACTCAGTTGATAAAACCAAAATTACCCTTTTACTCCCACCGAAGCAACACCACACTTTCTTTACAAACTTACACCTTAAATGTTTCGCACTGTTTTACCCACACTTTTGTCTTTTTGTTCTCTACTCTTAACATCAACTGTTTCTTCTACAGCAAGTAAGAGCCCTACTTTGGCAGTCCAAGTTTGACTTGTTTAAAATTTTTTGCAATATTGATTTTTTCTAGGATGTGGAGGGCAACTAAACAGTACAAGTGGAACATTTGCATCTCCTGGATATCCATTTTCTTACTTTAACAATTTGAACTGCCTATGGACTCTTCGTATCCCCACCGACAGCGTTTTGAGTCTACAGTTTGAGAGGTTTAACACAGAGCAGTGGTATGTGCATCATGAGTATAACTGTGCCGGTAGAGAAATTTTTAGTCTTGTTGAAAGTCAAATCGGATTCCTTTTGTTTTACCATGATAACTTCCGATGAAACTTGCTCGAACCTGTTAACCAATGAGATGCCAAGCTGCAATGAGCTGCGACTTGATCGATCTTACCATGCTAACTGGAGATTAATTTTGGACGACGATAGGGACGATTGTGCTTGATATCACAGCCTAAGGGTGTGGTATTCTTTATCTTTAGGTTTTCCATCAGCGACACTGCGGCCAACACCATCTTCTGCTTCTGGAGTAGTTGATGCGACATCGTCTCCTTCTTCTCAAATGCCTTCCCAGCCACCTTTTACAGGTATGTAAATTTTCTCAAATTTCTTAAAACTATGGTACTCATTTAATTTTTTGATATAAGTCAATCTAAGGAATCACACACACTCAGATTTCGTGGCCCTGGTTTAAGGACCAAACTCAGCCGGGCTGAAACGCTTGGAGGCGAGCTCCTTCAGCATCCCTCTCCAATCCTACCTTTCCTAATATTACATGATTCAATCGACTAACTCACGGCAGGGTTAAAATGAACCCTGGGCTGATACAAAAATTCTCACCTTTACACAGCTACACTTTTGAATTTCTTTGAAGACTCATTCAAAGAATTTCGTTTTGTGTCAAAGTAAAAGTTCTCCAGCAAAAAAAAAAAATACCTTTTTTATCATTTGTTTGCTTGCGGTGTACCGTTGTTAAAAGATATAGCTATCTGCTTAACACTTTTCGCTCTTTCTTAGTGTAGAAGACACAAGATTCGTCGCAATAAATCACGGCCTCACAAACCTATCTATTTTTTCATTCGCTCTATCGAAAGAGTAACAAGTGAAACGTTAGGTTTGAAACGCTTTACGGTGGTCGATTAACATTATCAACTCAGTTGATAAAACCAAAATTACCATTTTACTCCCACCGACGCAACACCACGGTCTCTTTACAAACTTACACCTTTAATTTTTCGCATTGTTTTACCCACAGTTTTGGTCTTTTTGTTCTCTACTCTTAACATCAACTGTTTCTGCTACAGCAAGTAAGAGCCCGACTTTGGCAGTCCAAGTTTGATATGTTCGACATTTCTTGCATGATGATTTTTTCTAGGATGTGGAGGGCTACTAAACAGTACAAGGGGAACATTTGCATCTCCTGGATATCCATTTTCTTACTCAAATCATTTGAACTGCCTTTGGACTCTTCGTATCCCCACCGACAGCGTTTTGAGTCTACAGTTTGAAAGGTTTAACACAGAGCAGTGGTATGTGCATCCAATAATC